TTTTCTCTTTCAGTTCTTGTTTATTTAACTCTCTTCAGGCTTCTTGCTTTCCGGTTAACTTTGATCTTGAAAAATTTAAATGCAATGTAAATTGTTATTTTTTGCCTTCTTAATTCTTGCTCTTTTATTGTTCTCTTTCATTAATAAAATTTTTATTTTTATTATATTCTTTCACACTCAGTAACCCATTGTGTATTAGTAGTTTTATTGCTTTGTTTGGGATGGAAGATCATTAAGATCTTTTTTTCTTCTTTTTTTTCTTCTTTTTTTTTCTTTCTTCTTTTTTTCTTTCTTCTTTTTTTTTTCTTTTTCTTCTTTTTTTCTTTTTTCTTTCTTCTTTTTTTCTTCTTTTTTCTTTCTTCTTTCTTCTTTTTTTCTTTCTTCTTTTTTTCTTTCTTCTTTTTTCTTCTTTTTTTCTTTCTTCTTTTTTCTTTTTGTTTGGGATGGAATGATTAAAAAAATATTAAATGAAAGAAGTCTCTATAACATTTCTTTTAATCTTCTGTTGCATGTCTCCATTATTTGAGGTCATTAAATGTTATTGCTATTACACTATGTGTCCTAATGGTTTATGGAAATGATTATAAATCATCACTGACAATTAAATACTTGCTTTAACTTTGAATAAGCTCAAAATCAAAATAGCAATCTGTGCATATAGAATAAATTATTGTTGTATCCGGTATTGCTGTCACATATGGTCCAATGCCCCTGCTATTTACCTTGTGCTCCTTGATAAAATCCAAAGAAGAATCAGCAATATTATTGGTCCTGATCTGGCGGCTTGACTGCAGTCACTTTCCCACCACTGTAAAGTTGCCTTCCTGTACCTTTTCTATAAATACTTTCATGGTAATTGTTCAGATGAGATCTTTGCTAAACTTTTTTAATTTAAGCGCAGTACTAGACTGGCATTGAGATCTCATCAATTTACAGTTGATCTAGTTAGATGTAACCATAAATTCTATGCTAACATTCTTTTCTTGCACTTGTCACTTGTGGAACTCCCTTCCAATTCCACACTTTCCAAATAACTTTAAACTACAAAGATTTAAGTGCAATGTCAATCACTATTCGCTGTCCTCCTGATTACTCTTTTCTCTTCCCGCTCATTATTAATGTTTCTGTTCCTAATTCTTCCACACCCAGTAACCCCTAATGTTTTAGTGGCTTCTCTGCCTTGCATGGGGTGGAATCGATTAAAAAAAAAAGTATTCAGAAAGTTGCTTTACTATTTAATTTGATTTGACAATGGATAAAACAACTTTTGCAAAAATCAATAAATCATTTCAGGGAGGATTTGATTGTATTTTGGGAGAATGGCACTTAATTTTTTTTGATGACTTTTTTTAGAATAATTGTAATTTTTGATCTGTCATTAGTGTTCATAGATAGAAAAGTTCTATTAGTTGTAACTATAAATATTCATGGGGCATTTTTGATTACTTCTAAAATACTTATATATTCAGATGAATTCCAATTGTGGAATATGTTGTAAACTTGTTAAAAAAAAGTACAAAAAAGAAAACATGAAAAGTGTAGGAAAAATCAATGAAAACAAGTGTAAATATAAGGACCATGTTTTAGTGCTGCTTACATCAAAATATTTCAATGTGTGTAGAGTTTGCGTATTTGTGTATGATAAAAGTAAGTAAAAAGTAAGACAACAAAATTCCTACCTTATAACTGTGCATTGTTATGTTCACCTGTTACGGTCAAAAGGAGAGAGAGCATTTTTTTTTAATTCAGTGCTACTTTTATACTCTATGCATCACATGACTACTTGTGACTGTCACATGACTACTTGCAATGTCATGTGACTATATATTTAAGAGGAATAGGACCCCACTTTTGTCACTTATGTTTCATTTATCTATGTGCATATATGAATGTTACAAGACAAAAATTATTAAGTTTACAGCTTACCAAGATAACAGACAATGCAATGGAGATGCCAAGCCATGTTTTGGGCATTTGAAATGTTCCAGGTTTTTCATTTGACTTTGGAGTATTCTGTTGATAATAGTTGTAAGTGATCCTATAGAAATAGATATATAAAAATAAGTGTAAATAACATTTCATTAGTGATTCAATTAGATTATTATTATTAGATTTATAATTTTTTTTTTAAAGCAATTCACCCCAAGCAAGGTGGGAGTACCACTAGTATACAAGGGGTTACAGAGGATTGAGAACATGAGTAAACAGACATGTTTGAGGAAAGGATACAGAGAAGGATGGGGAACAAGATCAGGGTATCAGATGTCGATTGACATTACACTTGAATATTTGAAGATTATAGTTATCGAGGAAGCAAGCAAGTGGAAGGGAGCTCCACAGATGGGAAGTGCAAGAAAAGAAGGTGTTTAAGTAGAAGAGATGGTTACATTTAACCATTTCAACAGTGAAAGGGTGGGACTGAGATGCCAGCCTAGTTTGGAAACCAGCAAAAAGTCGCTTGTTGAAACAGTTACCGTGAAAATATTTGTAGAAGAGACAGAGGGAAGCCACGACATGTCTGTGAGAAAGTGACTGTAGACTAGATGCCAGATCAGGACCTATCACCTTGCATATTCATCTCTGGATTTTGTTGAGGACCTCCAGACATACAGCAGGGGCACCAGACTATATATGTGTTGTGGCCTGTTTAGGGGCCAGAAAGAAAGACACAGAAAACAAAGGTAGGTTGAACAAGTGTATTGAAATAACAGATATATAAAAAGTACAAGTGTTAGCAATAAGCAGATAGAAGTGTACATCTGAATGGTCAGATTACACTGCATCTCCACTGCTCAAACACACCCTGTTTGTATTTATGAAAGGAGGAAGAGTTCATTCTACTTTAGGTGGGTTACTATAACAATATGACAGCAATATTCCATTCAAGGATGGATGGTTGATTCATAGATTTGAAGGATGGACTCGGGTGAGAAAAACTTTATGGCATGACACAGAGAACCAACTTTCCTTGCGGTAGATGAAGCTATAGATTCAGTGTATTTATTCCACCTCATGTCAGTGGTATTATTAGATTTATAATTATTATTAGATTTATAATTATTATTAGATTTATAATTACAGCATCTCTGGAAGTAAAAGGCAAATTCAGCTTCCATTACTCTCTATATATTTCAGAATATTTTCTTCATCTCTTGTTTGTAACCCATTACAAGAGCCAGATCAGGTGAAAAATAGAGTACCGTTGCCATTTCTGGGCATATGTTATCCAGTCTTCATTTTCCAATCTTGATAGAGTCTAAAATCATTTTTGTGTCCTTGTGGGAGACAAATTATGTTTTGCACTCCAACCCTTTTCTCAAGGACAAAATGTTGCAAGCCTCTCGCTGTTGTCAATGTTTCCATGGAAAGTGTTCAGATAAACTACATTCCTTAGTTTCACTAGTTCAGACCTTCACGTACTACATACATTGTAGTGAACCACAATGATTCCCTTTGTATTCCATTGGTGAGATTTAAGTTCCACTCAAGCAGCTTCTTCCAACAAACCGCTGCTCTGTAGAATCAATTTCCAGTAGGATGCTTCTTCCATCACTACAATCTTAACCTGTTAAAGTCTTCCCCACATATTCTCATAAACTATACTCTTACTCTGTAACCCTCTTACTAGAGTGAACATCATTGTAAAAAAAAAATATAAGATAAATAATCAGAGTGTTAGATTCAAAAAAATAAATCTGTAGACAAGAATTTAAAAAACATACAAAACAATCAAAATAATTCATATTAAGAATACAAAAAATATACAAACTCCAAACAATATACATGCTAAAATGCTGTGTTTCAAAGACAAAGTCTGTTGTGGATTGATTTAAAATCCACAACAAAGAAAAAGGCAAGAAAGGTAGTGAAATATAAAAATATAAAATATTTTTATTTTCATGTTTTTACAACTAAATTTTTCTTAGCTTATATGAGTTCTTACAGTCCTTGTTTGTAGTTGTTTGTTAAGATGAAAAGAAAGAGATTTCTTCGCGTATATGCATGAGAAAAACAAGAGGGGGGAAGTGTGTTACGTAGCTTGATGAGGAAGATGAATGAATGAATAAGGAAATTTCATTTTAAGCTGTATGCATCATATGTTGCCACATGTTGCTCTTCCTTCTCCTTACTGTTTGTCCGATTTAGAAACTTTGTTTCAATAAATTTCAAAGGGATCATAAAGCATGTTTTTTATTGTCAGCGGGAACACAACCCATTAGCTGAAAAATGTTAAATATTTATTTTCAAGAAATTAAATTATGATGAGGAATGATGCATGAATCTTCCAACTCAGAAACCATTTTTTCTCATTTGGTGTTTGTCTTGCAGTTTATTTCCATCTTTGCTCCACAAGTCCTCCCAAAATTTATTAATGGAAACATATTACCCTTAATCAGTTCTTGATAACTTTGTCTTCAGTTCTCTTTTTCTAACTATGCTTTCCCTCAGTTCATCTACTTTTTGTTTTCTGCTATGAACTACTTTTTTATTTCTTCCTTGGCATCCAGTCAGTTCTTTCAATTTTGTCTTAAAAATCTCTATCCCTCTTTGCTTTCACTCAGTTCATCCAAATGTGACCTTCACTCAATTCATTCACTCTTTTTCTTCAGCTGCTTCTTTCTTTCTTTCTTACTTTTCCTTCACTCAGTTCCTTCAATTTTGTCTTCACTCATTTTAGCCAACCATTGTCTTCAGTTACTTTTCCCTTTCTTTGCTTTTAGTTTTTTTTTTTAAACTTTGTCTTCATTGAATTCTTTCTAATTGGTTAAAATGTCATTATAAAAAGCAAAAAGTCACAGAGAATATATATGTAGGGTAATGAAAATACTTAACTTCAAAAGCTCAGACAGAGTGCTGCCTAGAAACTCAGACACCATGTAGGGTCTGGAAAAATGATTACACAAGAACCAATCAAAATATCAGTCCAACTTGAAAAAGAAACAAATTTAGGTATTAATCTAAATATTCTTACACAATATGTTTTTCTATTTCTTTGATACTTACCATGAATAAACACATAGACCACATATAGCAAAAGGCACTGTAATCACAATGGTCCAGATTATAAAGCCAGCAAAGAAACGTAGCAGCACACAAAGCAGTAAGACAACACCTGAAAAATATAGACATCAGTTTAGATATAAAGAAACAGGCAAACCAAAAATGAATAAAACTTGCATGCAGACTTAAATGAAAAAACTTGGAACTGAAGTTACCATTTTAAACAAGAGATCTACTTAGACTGTAATGACAGTTAAGAAAACAAAAGTATGTTTTTCAAATTCTGGCAAAGGCTGTTTACATGTTAAATTCCAACGAATACATTCAATCCAATTATCTTTATGATCTGGAAAAAAAAAGTTTAACCTTTAACATAACTGACAAAGAATGGTTGCATGAGAACTTAAGCAAACCACTCTGCCATAACTATCTTACCTTCCTAGACAGTAGCAGTAAAAAAAAAAGTAGTTATGCCTATTGTGGGCTTATGGCGATATCATGTTGAGACACCAATTCTCGTACAATCACTGAAGTTAAGTGACATCAAGCCTGGTCAGTACCTAGATGGGTGACTACTTGGAAATACCAGGTGCTGTAAGTTTGAATATCCAGCTGTGTAATGGATAACAGCTCAGCCTTGGAAATTGGAGAGCTGAGTTCCAATTCTGATTAGGTTTGTTATATTCACATACATGCAAATACCCTTTGGAAAGCTATGAATTCACCTTTTCTCCCTCAAGTCATGGGTTAATTAGTATGACTTGTATCAGTAAAATTGTTATTATTTTTAAAAAATTCTTAGAATCTAAAAATGTTTTCTGGTTTTAAATAACCTGCAAAGGATTGATAAGCCATAAAAATCAAATCAATCAATCAAATACACCCATTGTGATGCTTGACATGAGTCAATAAGGAACATAGTAATAGCAAATGTTGTCTTCCAGAAACTAAGCAAAGTATTAAAAGATTGGAAAATGTTGTTAGAAACAATTAAAAAGCACTGAACTGCTATGTAAAGTCTAATTTCCTATATGACAGTGGATGCTGGATAACTTCTTAACAGATGAAGAAAAGGCTTGAAGCAATAGAGATGTGGTACTACCAACAAATGCTACGAATACAATGGATAGAGTATGTGAGCAACAAAGAAGTTTTAATGAAAATAGGAACTATAAGAAAATTTATACTTACAATCAGGAAGAGCCAGTTAAAAAATTCTGGAAAGCAGGCATGGAGAATTTAACACTCACAGGAAATACTAAAGGCAGGAGAAGCAAGAGGAAATAGCAAGTAACTTACTGAATGAGTTTATGCGAATGGATGGCAGAGCAAAGAGGAATGTTAAGGGAGCAAATATTACTGAGAGAAACAAAAGATAGGAAGCTCACCCATGCCCCAAAGAAACATGGAAAGAAAGAAAGATGAGTAAAGTTAACACTTTCTTATACTTTACAAAACTTGACAGACATGCAACCTAATATATTAGATATGTGCAAAAGTTTCCAACAAAAAAAGTTCTCAATTGTGTATACGCTCTCTGATTTTCAAAAAAAAAGATCACTAGTAACTATTGCACAAAGAAGAATCTGCAATGTTATTGGTCCTAACTTGGCATCTTGGCTTCAGTCACTTTCCCCACTGTCATAATGTAGCTTCCCTGTACCTTTTCTATATTTTCATGGTAATTGTTCTGATAAACTTTCCTGTAGGTTGTTTTTATTTCCCCACCCACACAGACAAAACTTGTACATATGGGGACAAGTTAGGACTTCATAGAGACTATGAGGTATTATGGTGGATGTAGCAAGAATGGTAAGTAAGAATGTGTTTTTTTGGTATAAGGAATACTGTAGTATGTTTGAGTCAGTAATTGTGGCTAGCTAGGCTTAATTATAAGACAAAAGAAGACCAGTCTTCCTCCATCACTCCTTTTGGCCTTATTCCACATTTTTTATCTTTACAAAATCAATACAATTTTCCTCTATGGTACCTAGACTTTATGAATTTAAGTGCAGTACTAGATTGGGCTCATCATTTTACAGTTGAAATGGCTAGATGTAACTAAGCTCAATACTAAGAATTTCTTCTCTTGCACTTCTCATTTGTGGAACGCTCTTCTGATTTTTTGCTTTTCAGTCAACTTTGATCTTCAAAAATTTAAATGCAATGTCAATTGTTATCTTCTGTTTTATTAATTCCTGTTCTTTGATTGTTCTCTCTCATTAATAATGTTTTTTACATTCATTCACACCTGCATCTTAGTGGCGTTATTGCCTTCCCTTGGGTGAAATGATTAAAAAAAGCTAATAAATCAGAAATAACTGAACCATGGCTCACAATCCAATACTAGCTTTGAATCTTAATGTCTTTTCATCAAAAGGTAGGGAGGGGAATCAAAATCTGACTCTTCAAGATCATATATTTACTCCAGATATTTGTTTATTTCCCCTTCTCCCTTACCAATATATCCCCCCTCCCTTACTAATATATACCCCTCCCATTCCTTGCCAATATATTACTCCTCCATTACAAATTCCCCCATTTCTTACCAATATATTTCCCCCTCCCATACTAATATATTTCCCTCTCCTTTACCAATATATTTCCCTCTCCCTAAGAGTATATTTTCCCTCCCTTACTAATATATTCCCCCCACCCTTACCAATATATTGCTTTATATTCTGGTCCTATATTATAAAGATGCACTATTGAATTTCTATACATCATATATGCATTAAAGTATTATACTGTACCAACTGTGAGAAGAATCATGTAGCATATTTCTTTCCAAGTTGTTTGAATGTCTCTGATCATTTTCTGAAAGCAAAAAAAATCAAAATTGTTTACACTAAAAAATATAAATAAGGAAATATATAAATAAAGTAAAACCTAAAAAAAACTTGAATGCTGATTTTTAAAATAGGCAGACCCTTCCTTCTTGAAAGATTGTCCTTCTGACCCAAGGAGTTCTGTTGCTCTGACCTCTAGGCAGATGTGACACACACACTCGGAGTATTGCTCATGAATCTTTCCTGTGTTATTTGCTCCCTCATTAAGGCATTATCCACCTGATAGTCAGGTATCTGAACCTTTGAGTAACTTGAAGGAGAGTATCCTATCAGCATGTGTATAATATCGAGGCTATTGTACTGCCATTTTGTGAATGGTTTCTGGACTGTGTAATAGTCTTCGTCAGGGCCTTTCGACACCATGATGAAGAATAATAACGTTACAGCAGTATCTCCAGGTACATCAATCCAGGTTACTTATGCATGCATCTCCAATGGGTGTCTGTTGTACTGCCTACAAGTCATCCACCAAATTAACCAAAACAAACATGAAAGTGAACAAAACTAGCAAACCCAACCTCAAAGAAAAAAATGTAGACCCCAATTATACCATTTCTTACACCAATGTCTATGTTCCAACTTTCCAGAAGTGGAACTCTTTCTTCTTCAGTCTAAACCTGACCTCCTATTCCTGTCTGAAATGGGTATCAATGCCTCAATCCCATTGCAGGAGCTCACAATCCCCGGCTACTCACCCATTAGAACAAAGACTGGGCTCTCAAGATTTGGTTTACAATCAGTCTAGGAAAAGCACAACTCTGAATTCAAAACTGGGTGGCAACTCCACCTAGTAAAAACCTATTTACTATAGAGCAGCCACACCTAACATGGTGAGGCTATGGCTTTATTCTCCCCAGGTGAGGTAGTCTAATAACACTACAGAGAAGTAGGTGTCTTATCGCAAAACAACTGTTTGAAGGCAGGCACATAGTTTTGATAGATAAGAATGTTCACTTGACCATTATTTCTAACATAAACACTTCATTTCCAGCAAACATACAATTCTCCAAAATGATAATACAGCCTCTTGAAGATTCAAAATTCACTTTACTTCAAATGTTTTCACTTAAACAAAAGAGCCCATGTCTATCGCAGTGTATATCACACCTGTTTAAAGTGAACAATTTCACTACCTCACCACAATATAAATCACTGTCTATAGCTTAAACACAGATGAGTGTTACTACATCACAAGATGGCTGTACACCAAAAATTTGAGCAGAATATCTACTACCTCCAATCATCCAATCATGCACGGGTTAAAATTAGCATCATTGCTCAGGGTGCTTCAAATTTTGGTCAGTACATTTTACTTCTTTGAAATATATTTTACAAAGTAGATTTAATTTAATAAAAGTTTGGAACATGAAAGTTTTACTGATTGGCCTAACCTCAAATAAGTTAAGCTATGATTGGTAATTCTGCAGTTAATGAGGTCCTCATAATTAGTGTTTCCACAAATGGTAAGGTCCTTGTAGTTCAGGCTTTCCCAACTTGAGTGATATCACTCACTAGTGGGTGATTTCAAATGTTGGTTGGATGATGAACAACTGAACAGACAATGGTGGCCGATTGGAAATTTTGGCAGATGATATAGGATTTTGAGTATTAAAAAGGTATTTCATCACATGCTACTCAAAAAAAATATTCAAAGAACCTGTATAAAAAACAGAAGGCTAAGTGAGAATAACTGAGTCACATATTTTGATATTTTCTAGTTTTGAGAAGGATCATTAACATTCAAATAGTTCTTCAGTATTAGACATAACAAAAAAATATATGCTGAATTTTTATAAGTTGCTAGTTGTGTATATTTTTTAATTTTTTGTTAACACTTGCAATGCTAACCCTAACCTTGAACATAAAACTAAATTATATAAATAGTTTTCAATGGTCAAGTTCACTTTTGTTTGTAGCTATTACCATATTAAAGTGTTAGCAAAGTATTACCTGGTATTTTTTACTACATCATAAAGTCACCTGCATTATTTACATTATTCGGACTGTTATCTTCATCTTCATTGCCATATTCACATTTCAGTTGCTGTACGCTCAAGCCTTCTTCAGGAATGGAAATTTATTTCATCCACCGGATGTCTCAGTTATTTCCCTTTAACTCAACTCTCCACTGGTATTGAACTCACAACTTTTTGGGTCTAGTCACTGGATCTAACCAACATCTTTATCCACTGGGCCATATGTCCTTGAGGACATCCATGTATGAATTTTTGGGACTTATAAATCTAATGTCTCAGCAACCATTTTTTTACCAGTGCTCATATTGAAATTATTGTTGTTATTATTGCATTTTTTACCAGAGCTTATATTGCAATTTTTGTTGTTATTGATTGTTTTCTCTAGCATTCCTTATTACTGGTTCTATATTGTATTCATTTCTATGCTTGGTCGGATCAGGAGACTTTTGTGGCCTAGAATATGTGCTGATTCCTTAAGTTTTTGTATTTTCTAGTGATGCTCTCTGCCTATTATTTCATCCCACATGGGACAGTGATCTTCCTTTTCCCTCCATATGTGGTCAGCTACACCTGATTTTTCTTTTTTCCCTTGTGTTGCTGCTTTACAATATTCTTGTAGTCTTACCTTATGGTGGTAGCCTGTTTCTCCTTTGTATTTCTTACCATTTCTTGCACGGGATGATGTACACAAAGTCCTTAGTCATGTTCTCATCTATGGGGGTGGTCTTACTCAGAAGAGGTGTCAGCAAAGTGTTGAACCACTTTTGAAGATTGTCCTGATGTTATATGGACCACAGATCCTTTGTATTTTTCCTGATAATTCCTTCACATACAGTAGGAAGACTGAAGTTGTTTTCTGAGTGCTGTTATCCTTTTGTACCCTTCTATGCCAGTTTGTTGGAGTTGCTGCCATGTACCCAGGAAATTTGTTACATTGTAGGATACTGCTTATACTGACCATTTCTTGTTTTTATGTTTCTGGGTCACCACTTATGACTTTTGCTCAATATTGTAAGCAGCAGACAATCCTTGTATGGGTGATAGGAGTTGAAATTGTGGTATTGTCCAGTGAATGTTGGCTTGCAGTATATGGATGTCTTGAACGTCTGCTCTGTTCAAGATATTAGTACATCCAGGAAGGTGAGTTTTGTTGTTGTTTCCTTTTTCTATTGTGAACTGTATCGATGATCTTATTGAGTTCACATGGTCCAGTAGTAGTTGGACATCTTCCTGGTGTGGCCAGATTATGAAGGTGTTATCTACGTATCTCAGCCATAGGGTTGGCTTTAGTGGTATTAATTCTAATTTCATTTCTTCAAAGTATTCCAAAATTTGCCATTGCTGGTGATAATGGCGAGCACATTGCTAAGCCCTCATCCTGTCAACATATCTCTGATCCCATTCCAAAGTATGTTTTTGCATACAGAAAGTCAGCATCTCCATCAGGTTATCTATTGGTATACTGGTCCATTCTCCTAGGGAGGAGTCTGAGGTCAGTCTGTCCCTGACTACCAAGAGTGCCTCCTCCGTGGCTACCTTCATGAACAAACTCACCACATCCAGGATCACCATCTGAGTTAAAGGGAAATAACTGAGTCATCAGGAAAAGGCATGGCATGTGGAACTAGAACAATATAACCTAGTGGATGAAATAAATAGTTTGGTTCGAAATTCAAAATCACCTGAAGAAGGCCGGAGTGTACAATGGCCAAAACATTGTGAATATGGCAATGAAGATGAGGATAACAGTCTGAATAATGTAAATAATACAAGTAATCATAATACCTCATCTCAGAGATATAGACAGATATCATAAAGTCAGTTTATGAACCAGCAACAAACTTTTTACCAAATAAATTTGGTATGTTTTTGAATATTTACTATACAGGTGGGCAATGGAAAATTTTTCCATGTGAAAGTGGGCGATGACACCAAAAAGTTTGGGAACCCCTACTGTAGTTAGTAATTTAACAGATGATCAGATTCTTTTGTATTAATAATTATTCGAAGATCTTTGTATAGGAATAATTTAATAATTTTAATGTTATTTTTATATATTTATAATATTATTCGTGTTTGTATCATTGTGTTTTAAAATACTAATCCTATTACTAATATTTTTAATATTAATATTTAGTATTGATATTAATATCATTAATAAAAATAATAATATATTTGTTAATATCATTGAATATTATGGAGATACCTGATCATTGATTCCAACATTGAGTAGTAAACTGGAAACATTTAGGTCCTTGGGAAAACATATATTCAATAGGCATGACCTACAAATAATAAAAATATAAAATAATACAATTCAGTTATATTGTCAGTATCTTTACTGCTTTCATGATTTTCTTTTTCTGTCTCTTTTCAAAAAATTAATAATGTGGTAGAGTGACTCCACCTTTGTTTTTGAAGCTCTATTGAATTGAATATACCATATTTGCCAGCACATTGGATGCACCCAAATTTTAACAGAATATTTCGGGCAAAAAAATGCACACATCACATCACAATCAAAAAAATGAAATTATAACCTTACCATTATGTAACATTCTCACTAACCATGAAGAACCACTTACAGTATTAGCACAAATTATACTATTGGTACTTTTTTTTAATCAAAGTGAGGTCAGGTTTAATTACCAGGACATTTTTGGGAAAAGAAGAATTTTAGTACATTTTATCATGCATTTATTGAAAATTATTTTAATTATATTAGTGTTTATTTGTTGAAACTATGTTGTCTTTTTCTACCGGATTTTATTCTTTCAATGAAAATCATGGGATTATTCTAGACAGCCAAATTACAAGCAGAACTACAACAATATTTTATGTTATTGTATCGAATCCCGACACGCCGAATTTTGACATTCATCGAAAAAACAATTAGAAGGATTCCTACATATATTTATTTAAAATATGATGAAGAATTCATGAGTTGTATAATAAAATATCATACCACCAAATTAGTTATTGTAAATACAGATATTGAAAACTGAAATTCACATAACATTTTTTTATATAAATATATCCTGAAAATTTGACCAACATCAGTTGGTTTTCACAGATTTTATTGAAAAAAACATTGACTCGCAAGATAAAATTTGACATTCTGTAAATAAAGGGAAAATTTGACTTCAAGATTGGTCCTGACCTGACATCTCAACTTCAGTCATTTTTCCATCACTGCAACATAGTTCCCTTGTACCTTTTCTATAAATATTTCTGTTATGATGATCAAACTTAGTAGCCATAGATATTCTATGTACAATGATTCAAAGTTGCCTGTGAGCTATAGTTATAGTTCTCTTTATGCTAACTACCTATTAGCTAAACCAGTCCCATTACATCTCCCTGAATCTTTTGAGCTTTACACCCTGTGTGGATCTATGGCTTCTTCTATATTCCCTCCCCCTCTCACTTGTTTCACGAGTAGTTCTCATTATGAGGGACCTTGCTCTAATTCTTTTATTCTCAGTGTCCCATGTTTCATAATCCGAGTCTTCCAAAGAACTTTGACCGTTCATTGATTTCTCTGACCTGCTTTCTTGTTCATCTACATAGCTTTGTTTTGTACTTCCTTATAATTTTGGCTAGCTCTTAACTGGTCTGCATGGGCAATAATATTTTTAACATACTTGCATATTAATGCCATGTTTTATCCTTTTTGCATTATGAAATTCACAATATCTGGTACCTCTTAACCTTCTTAGATATTTCCTTATAGGCTCCCCAAATTTTCATCTCAGTGCTAAGAACTTGGTTTGTTCGGCTATGACCAATCTTTTCTATGGATGAATATTTCTCAATATTATTTCTTTGACTTTCTTAAATGTCAAGTTTTCAATTTCAGCTGGTTAAGTCATTAACGAAATCTGCCTAATAGCTTCACTTCCCGCAGTGGCCCAAAATAGATTTCTGATTTCTTTCTGTCCTCCAGATGTTTGGTCATCTCATAATTTCATTATTCTGGCATGCACCTCAAAGCATTTTATCCAAATCTTGACATTTTCAGGTTCTTCTGTGTTCAACATAGCTCCATCAGGCAATGCCATATTGTTATGATGATCAAACTTAGTAGCCATAAATATTCTACATCCACTAACTCAAAGTTGCCCGTGAGCTATAGTTATAGCTCTCTTTATGCTAACTACCTATTAGCTAAACCAATCCCATTACAATTTCTATAGTAAATGTTCTGATGAGCCTTTGTCTTTTGATTCTCATCTTCATAAATTTAAGTGCAGTAAAAGATTAGCAACTAGGTTTCATAATTTCACTGTTGGAACTGCTTGATGTAACTATAAGTTCTCTGCCAATAATTTCTTCTCTCATACTTCTCCCTTGTAGAACTCTATTCTGGTTTCTTGCCAACTACAATCTTCAAAGATTTAAATACAATGTCAATCACCATCTTTTGTCTCCTTGAATCCTGTTCTTTCTTTCTTGCATTCTCATTAAGACTTTGTATCTTAGTAGCTTTTATCACCTTGCTTAGAGTGAAATGATTAAGAAAAAACATTGCTACATACTTGCATTCCTGTGTGTTGCCAAGATTCAAGCATTCAGGGGAGCCATATTGCAAAGAGATGTAGGCTGTGTAACCCTGGAGTGTGAAAAAAAAAATTACATATACATATTGATATACATACTCATTAAATTGTGAACTGTTTATGGTTTGTCCACCCTGAACTCTACTAACATTCTCATATACTAATTCCTTTGTTACTTAATATAATTTACCTCTTTTGATCAGAGATCTCCAGTACAAAGCTTTGGTACTAATGTCTGTTTATAGTTTATTTAAAACCTTTCTTAAAGTAAGCTTGCTTCCTTTGTTCATTACACATGTGTATAACAAAACAGAGTATATGAAAATGATTGATGAAATGGAATTCCAGTCTTAACTTAAAAATTAAAAGGCAAATGTTATCCTGTTAAATATATGTACATACAATTTAATTACATATTTATATTTACTAAGGCTTGTGGCCACATCACGTTGAAACACTGGTTCCCATATGATCCCCACAGTTAAACAACGTTGAGCCTGGTCAGTACCTAGATAGATGACCACTTGGGAATAGCACATGCTGTAAGCTTGAATGTGCAGGTGGTGTAATGCATAATGGCTCAGAATTGTTAATCAAAGAGCTGAGTTCCAATTCCAGTTGGGTTCATTATATTCACTTATGCACAAATACCCAATCCATCTCTTCTCCCCCAACTATAGGTTAAATAGTAAAACTTGTATCACTAAATCATTATGATCTTAAAAAAAATTCTTACAATGTAAAACAAATATACATTTTCTGACTTTAAATAACCTGCAAAGGGTTGATAAGCCATAGAAAATGAATCAATTAAAATATATTTATTAAGCTTAGCTTATTTTGGCACATGGTCACAGAGTGAGAATTGAACTCACTACAATAGTAATGATCTACTAGCTTAGATTTCTACAAGTACAGAACACTCAGTGTGATTAGTACAGGACTAGTGATCTGCTCACCATTATGCTATACCAAGATGTCATTAGTTACTAACGTTTGAACAAAGTAACACTGGTGGGGCACACAGTGATGATCAAACACACTTCACTCAAAAATTGGTTTGCAAAATTAACTTGTTAACTATTGTGTGATATTGTGTTAGTAATATAGAATAAAAATACAAGACTAACTTTTTCATATGTAAAATAATTGTTTATTTATTTCTGGATTCTGTCAAATTAACATCTGTCAATTAAGAGGTATGTGGTTTCAGGTTCTTTTTCAAAAGTTTGATCTTCTTATGCAAATGCAAGAGATTTCCCCATACTTCTCACAGTTTGGACAATTGTATAAATTTGTTATCTCGTTGTTTTGTGCTTGTATATCCTAGTTTCATTTGGGTTCACTTCATGTTTATGTTGGTGCACCCACTGACATCTGATTCTGCATTTGGTAGCTTTGAGGCTACCTTCTCAGTCAACCTTCGAGGCAACTAAGTCTTCTGATATTTTGAAGTGACAAAAAGTGTAAGTTCTATGCTAATAGTTTCTTTTCTCATACTTCTTGTTTGTGGGACACTCTTCAGGTTTCTTGCTTTCCAGTCAACTTTGACCTTCAAAAATTTAAATGTAATGTTAATCATTATCTTCTGTCTTCTTAATTTCTATTCTTTCATTGCTTTCTCATATTCTTCCACACTCAGTAATCACTTGTATCTTAGTGGCTTTATTGTTTTGTTGTTAAATGATTAAAAAAAAAAAAAATAAAGTTACATCCTTGACCAGTAAGATTTGAACTCTGGTCTCATGGTCAGAATGCTACTGTTTTAACAATTCAGTCATATGCCCAAAAAGACTTTACTGTTTTCTAAAGGAAAATGGATGCTGGCATGAGGGAGTGTTTCAAAAGGATTAAGGTACTATTCTACTAGGTAAGCTAATTTTTTCATTAATATTAAGTGGTCATATCATTTCCAAATAGACTTCCAATTACTACCTATTCATTTGAGACAATTCATATAAAAGACATACTGACTACTGAGTTATTGAATACAATATACATCTGATAAAAACATGGAACAAGTTGGCAAAAACTTTGCAATGAAACAATGAAGACAAAGATATTAGTTTAAATATAATTCATCAAATGATGACAATATTTTATATCAGAGTTTCAGACAACAAACATAATCTCAGGTGCCAATTAAACAATTGTTAATTTCTGGATTTTTTTTCCAAACCCCACTGGAGCTTATTAGGATCCACTCACTTATTAATTTTCAATTATTCATGGCCCCTTTATTCAATAGATTGTTGGAAAATATTGTTTTGTTATGTACTGTGGTGGGAACCCATTGCATTATAAACTTTTTTAGTGAAATATTTCATGTGTTCAATTCATTTAAACTATAATTTCTATAAATATAGCAACATTTGAAATGAACAAAAACAATTTATATGTGCAACAGATAGAAAATATAGTATACAGGAGAAGGAAGAACTGGGACAACTTTGTTGGTCATTGATGGACATTTATTTGTATGAAAATATTGGCAAGACTTTATGGAAATATTTTTGATTTTGTTAAAGCATTTTGCTTAAAGACATTGATGGACATTTATTTTAGTTTTCTTTCTTCAATGTTTTGTTAGATTTTGAAAAACTTGTTCGTAATCATTCCTCAACCACACCATATATTGGCTCCCATCCATTTATTAGATTTTCTCCTTTTTTCCAACCTCCCATTTATTATGACTCCCAACTTTTATTTAGCACAAATAGATTTTGAGAAAGTTTTGTACAATAGGAGTGGATACAGTTGTCTATCAACCAGTTCACACTCCTCCCCAGTGTTTTGAATAGAAGTTTATCCCTTGTTTCCTGTTTAGGACTGGGTTTCTGGTTCCTTCTAAAATCTTCTCATTCTCAGTAGCCCCTTGCATCTTATTGGTATTATTGCCTTGCCTGGGGTGAATTGATTAAAAAAAAAGATCAAAGTTGACTTATGCAATTCTTTCAAACTATGGAGGCAAGGGAAGTAGAGATAAGATTTCTGATAATAAGTATCTATTTGAGAAACTTTTCAAACTTACCATTCCTCCAAGTAGTGCTATGAAAATGATAAGGAATAATACATCACGACATTTTCTATCTTTGATTGGACCTTCAAATGAATCCACCTCCACTTGAGTGTCATACTGGTTCTGGAATGAACAAAAAGATAATGGATATATAAAACCACGTAAATGCTGTGAAGTGATGGAAATGTCAGACATATCTTTACAAAAACTCACTCCGAATGTCTTACCTGCCATAAGCTAATCAGGTAAATATCCAGATAAAAACATGTCAGATCAAACCAATTTTTCAGTATCATCTGATCTATGGAGCACACATTTAGAATTAACTGTCAATGGATTAAAAGCATTATAATCCTTATGAAACTATATGTGAACAACAGCATCATCAGGTCATCAACTATATTCCATGATAATTGTCTTAGTAGGGTTACACAAATACCCTCTTCTCCTGTTGTGAAGCAGTCCTGTTACGTTCCTTTGGTGGACTTGGGTCATAAGGTTCATATATATTGAATCAGATCTGTTCGTTCTCTTTCAAGGGTCAATGGTTAGAGGAAGGTTATGAAAGAAAGTATAATACCTGTTCATTGAAAAATCATTTTGGAGGAAGAGTTGCCATTTTTAACATGTGGTAAAATATTTCAGAATAAGCAAATTCAACACATACAAGTTTTTTATTATATAGGACAACATAGCTCAGAATTTTCTGATTTTCTACCTCATTTATGTGTTAATGATATTAACTTATAAGTCAAAATAACTACACTATAAACCACAAATAAGCACACCCCATTGCCTATTACAGTATTTATGATATGTATGTACAGTATTCTGAATAAAATAATTAATTTCCACCTAATCTTTCAGCAATATAGCCTTATGCTTAGCATTAACACTTGCACTGGAACTTCTCTTTGGCAAAAATCTATTCTAAATCACAAGTGAAATATAATTGAAAGACAATTAATGGCAGAGCACAGATGTGAACAAGTCTGAATTCAAAATCGGTGTTGGAGTGGAAAACAATGCATGAGTGGCACCTGTTGGCAGGAATTTGAAATAAGAATATCTGTTGAACATTCCTTATTATGCTAAATCTTTTATTTTTGATGATTTTATGATATATATATATATATATATATATATATATATATATATATATATTATACATAATATGGGTTTTTTAAATTTATTTAAATATGATTTTATATGTGTTTATTGTTATTTTAGTGTTTTGACATTTCTATTATTTTTAACAGTTGACGTAACTTGAGTAAAATAATATATAACATTTAAGAGAAACCAACATATATTTGAAAATGACTTAACTCAAAACAACTTACACTGAGGTATCCCTGTATATTTATTGTATTATCTTATGTGTATATTTATAATTTTTATATTATTCTTTTTTTTTTTATAATATATATATATATATATATATATATATATATATATATATATATATATACCCCAAGTATATGATTGGTGTATATGGAATGAATTCCAATAACCAACAAATACTATTCTTAAAAGAGTGCTCAATACAAAGTAGAGCAGATATAATTATTTATTTAAAAAAAATTATAACATAAATATGTTATAAAATCACTACAAAGAATAGCCATTTTGTTTCAACACCCTCGGTGTCTTATCAAGTGATGATGTTGAATGTAAAATAAATGGTTTTAAAAGTTTCAAATTAATTAACAATCCTTCATCAGGGGAAAAACGTTGTTACAAAAGCTAGATGGACCAATCAAAATACAAGTATAGGAAAATTCAAAAAGCTTGACAACGAAGTCATGTTATAATAGCTATTCAGATGTTTAAAATATGGGTAGTATTAAAAAAGAATATATATATATATGTGTGTGTATGTGTTTACTTATGTATGTTTGCGGTTGTATATGTGTATGTTGACACCTATTGTATGTGAGATTGTGTGTACGTGTAGGTATGGAAATTGGGTATGTCATTACGGCCACATGAGTTAGTATATGTGTGTGTGTATATATGTTTATATTTGTGTATTGCTGTGTGTATATATGTATTTATATGTGAGTATGTGTACATATATGTGTGTATATTTGTGGGTATATATGTGTATGTGTACTTGTTATCATGGAGATATATACGTATGTATATGTTTATGTATTTATATGCGTGTATTTCTGTGTGTATGTATGTATATATATATATATATATGTGTGTGTGTATATATATATATATATGTGTGTGTAAAGAAAAATTATTATATATATATGTATATATGTGTTTATGTGTGTGTGTATGTATATATATATATATATATATATATATAATATATATGTGTGTATATATGTGAGGTGGACATCGAAGTTACCTATGGGCATTGACTTTGATGTCCAATTTTATATTTACATGCACTATTTTAATATATTAAATAATATTTTTTTTAATCATTTTTATCTTTGTATATTTGCTCGCTTAAGTTATATTTCAATAAGTGGTTAGCATTTGTGTAATGACACTCAGTCTTAAATATTTATTGGTTGTTGTATCCGATTGTCTGGGTCAATGTCTGTGGATGTGTGTGCATGTATTTATAATTGTCTATGTGTATGGAAAGTGCATTCACTTTTAATCACTTCCTTTTTTTTTTTCATAAACGATCATGGAGATGTTCTCTGTCTCGTCTCTATTTGTGTATGTATATATATATATATATATATAAATATGTCTGGGTGCTTATATATTATAATCTGATTGTGTTTGTTTTACGCGTGAGTTTAGGACCCCATTCATTAACTTTCTTAGGATTAAAATGTATACATTGTCAAAGGACCGGATATAAAATTAGCTAAATAACTTCAATGAAGAAATAAATTGAATAACATATACATTTCTTCTTTTCTCCTCAGTAATTTTATAGTTGTAAACTTAATAGCGATTAAATTTTGATTTTGAAATTAGCAGTTTTTAATTTTAATATTAAATTTTATCATATAATTTAGTAATTATTGGTTAGAATAAATTTTTTTAATACTACCCATATTTTAAACATCTGAATAGCTATTATAACATGACTTCATTGTCAAGCTTTTTGAATTTTCCTATACTTGTATTTTGATTGGTCCATCTAGCTTTTGTAACAACGTTTTCCCCTTGTGAAGGATTGTTAATTAATTTGAAACTTTTAAAACCATTTATTTTACATTCAACATAATCATTTGATAAGACACCGAGGGTGTTGAAACAAAATGGCTATTCTTTGTAGTGATTTTATAACATATTTATGTTATTATTTTTTTAAAAATAAATAATTATATATATATATATATATATATATATATATATATATTATATACATGATTTGACCAAGCATATATATATATATATATATATATATATATATATATATATATATATATATATATATATATATATATATATATATATATATATATATATACACATATATATATATATATATATATATATTGTGTTTACATGCTGGCTGATCCACCAAGTAAACACATGGTCAACCCAGCTGTGCTTAGTATGTGCACACATGGGACAAACCATATGACATCAAGATATATAAACAAGGAGATTATAGTTTTATAAATCCTCACAAGAATGTAAAGTCGACATTCAGAGATGGTTCCAAGGTCACATGCTCACTCATTTACAGTGATTGACATCACCTGGAGTAAATTAAAGTATATAAGATGTATGCTGGTTTAAAACAAAAAATGAAAGAAAGAAAAAGTACAGAAAAATAAATTAATGCTAAAGTAACCAAAACTGTGTAATTTGAAGACTAACATGGATTGTTGATAAGAGTTATCAATCCCAAAGCTGGTTGGTAGAGCTAAGAGTAAACTTAGGTCAGCTGAAATTTGTATAAAGGTCATTTAAATTCTTGGTATGTCAAGGAAATTAAATGAAACCAGAAAAGAAAAGGCGATTTCTTTTTCTATATAAGATCAACAGAAATCTGTACTGAGTTATGACCAAAAATCAACACAAAGATAGGGCCAACCAGATCCCCAGCCTAAGAATAGTAGTTAGGATCTAGCTGAAATACCAATTCAAGGCACTAGGTCAAGTCTGGACCCAAATGAAGAAGTGCCACCGATTTCTAATTGAATTCTTTACATTGTTCTTTGTCAAGACCACCTGCAAATTTCCTCTATAAAGAGAAAGCGCGATTTCAGTTGGAATAGATGAGTTTTAGCAGTTCTCCAATACCAGCTGTCACCATAAAGCACCACAGAGCCAAATTAATCACATATATTTGTGACACACATATTCACATGTGTACAGAGATACACATATATGTTTCATATCATATGATTCAACTCATCTAGAACAATTTCCACAGATGACCACTATGCACTTATACATATATGTTTATATATACACATACTAAGATTCTTTTCATATGTACAGCTACTTTCATCTTCGAGCACTATAGAATTCTAAATTAATCCATTTACAAATGCATGAAGCTATATAAAATTTATTTCAGTCACATTAACTTTCTCTTTTGATTTACCTTCACTAATGTATCTTTAAAATGAATTCATTGCTTGCTCAATATTTCTTTTATTAGTTTCCTGCTTCAAGTTTGTTGTTCTATTTTGAGTTTATTAATTTTGATTGATCAGTTAATGCTTGGTATATATGAATGAGATCATTATTCTATTAATGGGCTGTGCTAGGAGTAGTCTTGCCCAATACCACAAGATGCTACAAAATCAAAAAATAAACCTAAGAACTTGAGTCATATTCTTAAATAGCCTCTTCAGATCGAGACTTTGCTATGGATGTCATACGTGGCACCCGAGGCATTCAGAAATGTCTGAACTGTTAACTGTACACTAACGCTTTCTAGGATCAATGATTAAAAGTGTCTTTGAGTGAATGAACTCTGTAGGTCTTAGAGAGGACCATCCTTCTTCAAACCTCATGGACTCGTGCTACAGAATCACAAAGAACTGCACCAAATAACAGAAACCTCATCACTTGAGGACTTGCAACAACTAGAATAGATATCACATCTAACTGGAAAAGAAAATAATTTCATAATCAAAATGCTGACAATCCACAGTACTTCAAACAAAAGGTTAGGAAGA